TTCTAATTGCTCGCTACAGTTTCTTTTAAGTTAAATCAGTACTTATTAAAACAAATTTAATAATTTTTAAATATAGAATTGAAGCTAAATAATAGATGTATTAAATGACATTTAAAAGGGTTTATTGGAAGTAACCACAAAAATTTGGCAAACATCCAAATATACCGTTACTAAACACTGCGGAAATATAAACGAAACCCCGATATCATGCCAACAAAAAAAACTCAATGGTATTCAATAAATAATTTGATCATAGTGATTTTGTTGCTACAAATTCACACATAACTATAGTTTGCGTTATCACTTCATATCCACTTTAGTTGTCCATTAAATTAGTAAAATTTAATAAAATATAGAAACTTACCAAACAAAGTATGCGAGCAAATAATCAAGTTAACCACAAATCGCCACAAGAATTTGGATATAATGATTCAAAATTATTATAAAGTAGACGTGCCCACGATGATTCAATAATTTAATGTAAACTCATGCAAGTTTACATAGTCAAAATGAATCTAAATCATATCTGGGCACTCCTATTATAAAGTAATTTTTAGTCACTACCGGTGTTCGCCTTAACGCTTGCCTAAGACTTTTACGTGTCACTAACTTTTACGTGTACTTTATATGCAGTGATCTTTAAGTTAAGACTAGTAGACGACAATGATTTTATTTGAAATGGTTTTATTTCATAAATAACATTCAATTTATTATATTAATCAATTGTAATAATTTACGACAAATAGTATTATTTTAAATAATTTATCAAAATTGTAATAAAAAAGTGTAGCATTTTTTTCAAAACCGATTGAGAATATAATATAAAACACAAAACAAGGCAAATGAATGGGTCACCCAAATAGGGTGTGTTTGCATTACCGGTAATAATAGAATTAACAATAATTGGTGTGAAAACAAGTATAAGTTAATAGGATATAAGATATTGTTATCTAATTTTGTTGAGTTTAAACGGTGTGGTCGAGTGGACAGTGAGGAAGAATGGGCCCAATTGGTGAGCGTTGAATGTGGACGGGATTATATTGTATGTGCCCGCGGGTACACTCCGAAGTTGCAATACAGTAAAGCCAGACCTTATCATACATTTGAGACATTATTTGTAAAACAAAATGAAACTCAAATTTGCAATAAATACTTGAAAGCACCCGACGATTGTCTCTTGAAATAATTAGCGGAATTTTGATTCACAACACTCACTGTCGTTAAATCGATACCAATCGCGTAATCTCTGTACAAATGATGTGTAATTTAATTACAATTAAAATCTAGACAACAAATTGATTCAAGAATGCAATACTTTGGTCCTTTAAGGTCAATCAACAACTGATTGTCCGCATCGTTGGCACCGGTAATAGTGAATTGATAGACAGGATTCTTGTGATACGTGTCCCTATTGTTAGCACAACCACCGGCCGTATCGGCCGTCCATTTGCCGTTCTTTTCCTATAAATCACAACANATTGTCCGCATCGTTGGCACCGGTAATAGTGAATTGATAGACAGGATTCTTGTGATACGTGTCCCTATTGTTAGCACAACCACCGGCCGTATCGGCCGTCCATTTGCCGTTCTTTTCCTATAAATCACAACACATTTAACAAAACAAATAATGTGAACATCTTTTATGTCAAAACATACCATCTCTTTATATTTGTATGGATTGAGTAGTTTTTTAAGCTGAAAAGCACCGGTAGAGTAGACACGTATAGTGTAGTTAATAGTCGTCGACTTCTCATACTGTGATATCGCGAGTGTATACCGACTGCACGGCTCTTGAGGTTTGGGCGTAATTTTGCATAAATAGTGCGGACTATTAATACGGACGCCGTCTATATATGGCGGCGGATCGACTGATTATTGTGTCGGCAATCATGTCATTGGGTATAAAATAGATAATTACACATTAATTAAATTATGGTAAAGTTAGATTCCTAAATTAGCAAGATGGTATTGGGAGCCCAATTATGACCATCATTTAGCAATTAATAGTCCACTCACACGGCATATAAACTTTTTCTCCATTGTTTTTATAGACCAATAGAGCGATGTATTCGTTATTATTTGCAAAATCGTTCTGCAATTGAGATATAAAATAATGATATAAATTGTTGAACAATTGCTGACAAAATAAATAGCAATTACTTTATCAGTGATATGACGGGTCAACAGAACCCAAACAGTACTGTCGCCGCTTTTAAGGGTCAGATTATACTGTGGGTTATCACCGATGAAGTACAGGTCCTTTACGGGTCCCACCCCTGCGTGCCACGAACTGTAGCACACATTATAAGCATTCATATTAACCATTAGAAGAGAAAGCGATACAAACACACGAATCAATCATTTACTCACTCATGAGTACAATATGTGTATTTAAAGAGAGCGGGACTCCAGTTAAGGTACGCCACGTCGTAAAACCGGTACAAAGAGTCCATATCTATCCAGAAGACACCTATAGATTAAAGAATATAAAAAGTTTATTATATTTTATACAAACAAATATAATAATAAATATAAAATCTCAAACCATTATCAAAATTTCTGGCACTTTGCGGGTCATAATGGAGGGCCTCTTTCAGAGATGGCGTCCAGTTATTGACATCTCGTTCAGAATAATTGCCTTTCCATCGCAAA